CTTTTACCCTGATTTCTCAGGAACAGCAGAAAGGCAGACCTTAGCTATATGGTGAGGGACACTACAAAGAAAGCTGTATCTGACAGATAGTCTGAGGATAAGAAAGGCTCTCAGCCTCTGAGTCACTGTCTGCTGAAGTCCGGCACCCCAGAGCTATCCTCCTAGCCTTTGGGATTAGACTCTAAGCCAGTTCACTAAGGCTAACCCAGAGTTCAGCATGACATGCCTTGACTAATGTTCAAGCAGTCTCTGAGTGTGAGAAGAGGTGCACTCTTGACTTGGCACATGGTTCAGGGCAGCAGCTGCCACGTGTGCATGTTCTCGAGTGAGCCCAGAGTGGCCATGTCATCCCCACCTTCTAGATGAAAAGTACCCCTGTCTAGCATTTACACGTAGGTCTGGCGAATGCGTTAAGCGCTCTGTGCCTCAATGCTTGTCTCTCATTCTGTCCTTGTATTGTAACTTAGAATTGTACAGATTTTGTACAGAAATCAAGCCATAGATGGTCACATCTCTCAGAATGACTAATAAGAAGCAGAGGTTGTAGCCCTTGTGGTGCAGGTGGGATGGTCCCATACACGGCTGGTTAACCTGGACCCACAAGGAAATACAGGAGAATGGACACCCTTCAGGTTGTCCTAGTGCCTAGGGCCGGAAAGAAGAAATTTAGCCCTTCTAGTTAATCCCAGCACTCAGGAGGCAGAGGCAGATGGATCTCTGTGAGTTCGAGGCCAGCCTTGTCTACAAGAACTAGTTCCAGGACAGACTCCAAGGCTACAGCGAAACCCTGTTTCGAAAAACAAAACAAAAGCAGAAGAAGGAGGAGGAAGAAGAAGAGGAAGAAGATGAAGAGGAGGAGAAGGAGGAGGAGGAGAAAGAGGAGAAGGAAGAGGAGGAAGAAGAGGAAAAGGGGAGGAGGAGGAGGAAGAAGAAGAAAATCTACTTAATCATTCTCACTTTCATTGTGAGGAATTGTTCTTAGAGCTTCTGTTGTTTTCCAGTCTCAAAACTAAGTGTCCAATTGTTATGGGTAGCAGAATTCATTTGCCTAATTTTCCTTAAGTGTTTTGTTTGGTTTCTGTTTTTTAGAGTAGACATAGACGTGGGCACCTAGATTGGCTCATGAGGAACTTTTCCAGTCTCCCCATTATTGGAAAGGAGGTACCAAGCTGGCCTTCTTAAGTAAGGCAGAGGTGGTAACACACTCACTGGCTTCCTTGACCAAGAGAAACCTTTAGAACCACCAGAGAGGGGTTCCATGGCAAATGCACTACTCAGACATTCTGGAGTGGGGTGGGGGAATTTTTCAAGGCTCCTGTAGATGGGCCAAGACACAAGAGCAGAAGCAGAAAACTCAGGATGGCCTATAGGGGCTCTGCCCTTCACTGCCTGTCTTCCCCTACTGAACCTCCTCCTTCCTGTCCCCGAACTGCTTGTTTCCCCCATTCCCAGGAGCGAGATGATAAGAAACTGAGTCATCACTGCTGCTGGTATTCAAAGCCTCATGGGGCTCCCCATGGGGTGGCCACTGACCCTTGGACACAGTGGTCTGCTCTTCAAAGCCCTGGGGAAGTCCCAGTGTCTGAGGAGCTAGCTATATGGTCAGTAACTTCCTGAGCTTGACAGGGGCACCAGTTGGAGGTTTGCTTTGACTTAGACCAGGTTTATTTGTGTTTTGATTAACATTTAATATTGATTAATGCTTCTTATATGATAGCGGGTTGCACAAAATGGTTCATTTAATTCTCAGAACAAGCCAAATATTAGGTAAATGCTCCTCAAATCCACACTTCACAGATGGAGACAGAGGAACAAGCAGTAGAGAATTGAGTCTAGGAAAATCTCAGCCTGTAGGCTTAATTCTTTATTTTGTTTTGTTTTGTTTTTGTTCTGCTTTGTTTCATTTTGTTTTGAGGTAGGGTTTCTCTGTGTAGTTTTGGAGCTTATCCTGGGACTTGTTTTGTAGACCAGGCTGGCCTCGAACTCACAGACATCCACCTGCCTCTGCCTCCTGAGTTCTGGAATTAAAGGCGTGCACCACCACCACCGGCTTTAATTCTTAACTGTATAAGAGACTAATACCCATTAAGCATCTATTGCTACTATGTTAAACACAAGACACTTAGGAAAAATAATTCCTTTAGGGCTGGGGATATAGCTCAGTTGGTAGAGTGAAGAAGGAAGGGAGCAAGGGAAGAAGAAAGGAAGGAAGTTTTCATATCATGATACATTATGATACAAATGTCAAGTCAAACAAAGACAAGAGTTAGTCTTCATACACCTCACAAAAACATCGTGAGAACCACTATTAGAAAAAAAAAAATACCCCTGTGTCCTGTCCACACACGCCCATGCACAGGCCCTATACGTAGTAAGATTAAGACAGCAGTTGGGTGGGGGTGGGCCTAGCCAGAGCATGAGATCAGTTGGGAGCTGTACGTGAGAGCAGCAAGCCTCTTCGGCCTAGTCTAATAGATCTGTAACTAAGCATGGGACACCAGGGCTCTTCTTTGGAAATTCTGAGTCAGCTGGTCTGGGTTGATCCTCAGAATGGTTTCTAAAAAGCACTTGAGGTCATTGTTGTCTCCTGGTAAGACAGGAATTGCTTCAGCTCTGGTCCTGCCGCCACCAAGTTTGTACTTCCGGCGAAGCTACATTGGAGCGTGGGTAGGGATGTCAATGTCTAGGATTCAGGAGAAGGAGCTTCATATACTCTAGAGAAATGCTGGGGGCTCTAGGGCAGCAGGGATCCTCAAGAACACATACAGCCAGGCCGCTTCTCGCTAGTGAGTTATTATGATTCGCTATCTGGGATGGGAGAGCTCTCTCCTGTGGACCTCAGATTAACCTCCCTTCCTATTTCTAGGAGCACCTTCAAACTTTGTTGTTGTTGTTCTTTTGCTTTTTGAGATAAAGTTTCTCTGTGTAACAGCCCTAGTGTTCCAGGAACTGATTCTAGACCAGGCTGGCCACGAATTCAATGAGATCTGCCTGCCTCCGCCTCCTGAGTGCTGAGATTAAAGGCAGGTGCCCAGCGACCTTAAACCTTCCAATGGCCCTAGATTTTTGAAGGTTGAGGCCCAGCCCATTGGGTGTGATTGACCTTTAGAGGCAAAAGTCCCTGGGGCTGAGGTTGAGAATCTGAAGATAACTAAGATGTGCCCATGGAAGCCAGATAGCTGTTCAAGCCGGAAATGGAAACACAGTACTTAAACAAGAGCCTGAGGTGTATGAAGAGAGGGCAGCAGACCACGGGAGGGTGAACTTTCCAAGCTTACGTGAAAGTAGAGGGAATCCTTGAGGGTCAAGCATCAAGGAACGGATGACTAGGTCTGGGGAGTTGCATCTCCATGGTAGAACCTGCCTGGCAAGCATGAGGCCCTGGGTTCTATCCCCAGAACCACAAAGAAAACAAACAGAGAATTAACAGGTAAATGGTGGCAAAATGAAAAGCCACTTCAGGCTTCAGCAGATACACATTTCTCCTTTTGAGAAAAATTTCCCTCACTTCATAGGAATGAATCTTGCTTAGATTGTAAAGTCCCCCATGGCGGTGGTGTGTGTTCCAGGCCTCCCGGTTAGAATCACTCCTTTCCTGAGGCACTAAGGCCCCCAAAGCCTGGTGGAGCAAGGGTCCTTTGAGGGGTATTGTTTATGCTGTGAGAAAGGCGTTCGTACCCTCCTTCCGTGAAATCTGTGGTGGAAGGATGATCAGTGAGGGCTGCCAGCAGCTGGGGCACTACCAACGGAGAGCAACAGGCCGGATGCTTTCTGGTTGAGTCACTGAGACTCGAAGCATTTGAGTGATGCAAACAGATGTGTGCTTGGAATGTGAGGCCGGTGTCTGTGTGGAGGAATGCCCGGATTAGCAGAGACTGAACCCTGGAATCCAGGGAGAAAGCTGCTCAGACAGGCTGGTACAAGACCTCTGGCCCTCACAGAGCCCGGCGAGCGAGAAAAGGCAGACTTGAGGGATTATTGAGGAGTTGGAAAAGAGAGACACTTTGACTGGGTGGGGCAGGGGGGAGAAGGAGGTCATCAGGGCTGGCTTTGAATTCGGGCACACCCATGTTTGGACTCTGCTTGGTACTCCTAATGGCCGGGATCTTATTCAACTTCTTTAAGCCTTGGCCTCTGCGTCTACATACAGACAGTGATAACACTGTATACTTCATGGCATTGCTGGAGGATGAGATAAGGCAGGGAGAGACAAAAACATGCAGCCCAGACATGGGCACCAAGTAACAGTGTAGAATCACTCTTTCACTGAGAGCAGAGAAGAAAGAGAAGTTAAAGATAACCCCGATGTTCTCAGCTTGAGAATCTGAGCAAAGGATATATGGGATTAATTGGTTTAAGAAGTGCAGGGGTTGGGGACTGGAGAGATGGCTCAATGGTTAAGAGCACTGATTGCTCTTCCAATGAACCTGGATTCAATTCCCAGCACCCACATGGCAGCTCACAACTGTCTGAAGCTCCAGTTCCAGGGGATCTGACACCTTCACACCAATGACCATAAAATAAAGTTAAATAAACCATAAAAATATTTAAAAAAAAAAAGTGAAGGGGTTTATTAGGAAAACAGGGTGTAAGTTTGTTTTGAGACTCGTTGAGTCTTATAGGCCCTTAAGACTTTGGGGGAGATGTGCCTGGCAATACCTGAGGCTCACACTCAAGGTTTGGGGGACACTAGCCAATAGAAGGTCATAGGAACAATGGCAGGTAGGAGAAAGTTGAGGATGGGTGTGCCCTGGAAGGGAGGAGGAAAGAACCAGAGGAGTTATGAAGCTAGTGAGATGTGAGGAAATCTTCATCAGGTATAGAGGAGCTCCCCCAGATAAGAGGACCTGTTAGACCACCATGGTACTCTTACTTTTTTCATGGGAAAGATGAAAGACCAAAGCCAACACCAGCTGAGTGGCTGACAGATCTCTAGCCTTACCCATGAGATTATCGTTAAGAGGCTCACTGTGGCCCTCAAGTGGATTGATGCCACTTACCTCCAGGTATTGGTTAGCCAGGTGTAAGACTCGATCTGTGACGTTAAATACATCCCTCCAGTCAAAGTCGGGCATGTCCTCAGCTTGGGTCTCTCTGGCACCAGTAGGGAAGAAGTTTAATATGGCTTCAGTGGTAATACCTTCTTCTCCAAACTGCTGATTTATAAAGTCTTTCACTGCTGGGTGTTCCAGGGTATCCTTGGGAAGAAGAACCATAATCACAGAAATGAAGAATTCCATAGGCTCTTTGGTCTTATTCTTAGAGCATTTCCGATTTTTCATGATTAATGACGGAGAAAATAGGCTCACTGAACAAGCTGATAGGGTTTCCTCCCACGACAAGGTATATGTACTTCTGCCTCTTTGAGGAGAGACAAGATGGAGGGTGGGAGGGGTATTCCTGAGCATGTAAAATGATATGGAAGATTTTCTTTTTATGGCTCTCCGTTTCGTTCCCATTTTAATTTCCCTGCTATTGCGAACTCTTGCCTCTTGGCTTTACAACGTTGCGAATGAGGCCATATAGACATATGTGACCGTCTTGGTAGTATAGAGCTGGCCTCTTCAGAAGACATGCTTTTGAACCTGAGACCTTCAAGTGAATTCATGGGAAAGATAGTGATCTTGTGATAACTTTTAAATCCCCCTCCCCCTAGAGATTAGGACACAGATTTCCCACCCAATGCCAGTGACTCCACTTGGTGACAGTTTACAGACTGGTGCTTTGGGTTCTGTTTGTTATGGCGTGATCTGGCTCCAGTAGTGATGAACTGTCTCTATGGCCCCGCTTTTTCTAATCCATCCTTTATTGTGAGCATCCTTACTCTGATCATGGTCATTTGCGTGCTCTTATCAAAGAAGTACCAGATCTGGGGCCCCACTTCTTCCCAGGCTTTGACCAGCTTCTTAACTCGGTCCAGTTCTTCAAAGGTTGAGTTGGCCTAAAAATAGACACACAGAGAAAAGAAAAAGAAAAAGTAACCTTTAGTTCTATCTTCTGCCTTTGCTATAAACATTTAATGGTTGGGCAAGGTTCCTCCTCCTCCTCTTCTTTTTAGCTTATTGTATTTTTATTTTAAGTATATGGGTGTTTTGTCTGCATGTATGTCTGTGTACCACATGCATGCCGTGTACCCATGGAAGCCAGAAGGGAGGATCAGATCCCTGGGAAATGAAGTTAGAGACAGCTGTGAGCTGTCATGTGGATGCTGAGGACCAAACCCTGATCCTCTGGAAGAGTTCTCTTAATAGCCGAGCCATTTTCCCAGCCCACAAGATTCTTCTTGGAAGTGCCTTTTCCCCCGCAAGAACATTGACGTTCTCTGACTCCGGGATTGACAGAATCTGATTATCTCAGAGGTACATGTAACGTTGATGTTATTGTTTCCAAGTCTCAGGAAGCTATAGCTGGGATTCTCGTGAGCAAATATTCATCCTCCCCATCTTTGCCTGTTCTGGGAAGCCAGGGATCAGAGAATGGTGAACATTTCCATTAGGGATGTAAGTCACAGAGTGAGAAAGAAGCTCCATTGCAGGCTGCTTCGAAGAGGGTGGGGCCATGCAGGGGCACCAGAGGGAGGCATTCCTACCATGACTGTGCATGGGGGAGGAAACCTAGCAGGGGAGTCACTGGCAAGAGCATATTTAAACACACAGACAGACACACACACAGACACACACACAGACACACACAGACACACCACCACCACCACCACCAACCACCACTGTCTTAAGGGACCAGACCATCTGGGACCTCACATTCTTCAGGAGCCTTCGCACAGCAGGGGAATCTGGAGTAAAGAGGATTTTCCCCATCAGCAGTGGCTTTGCCGCCCTCCAGGCTATTTTGGTTAAAGGGTTTGACTCCAGGCTCCGGATCAAGGCATTACAAAAGGATGCTGTCAAGAGAGAAGGGACACATTTTTCAAAACTCCCCATTGCTCATAGCTAAACATAGTCATTAGTACATCAAATCACATGTTTAACTCTCATTCAGTCCCACACTGGAGGGTTTGAGAAATAATTTAAATTGTTAGGCTGGACCCCCCCACCCCAATAACAAGCTCATCATTAGTGACAGAAGGCCACAGTGCTCCCTGATAATTGCACCCACAGTGCCCCCTGATAATAGCCTCCACAGTTCCACAAACGATGGGGTCTGCCTTGTGGTTTATTTGCTTAAAAGAAAGAGTTGAGAAGCCTGCTTGTGATTTTTGCAAGGGACCAAAGGGAGTGAAAGCCCCCATAAGCCTCCCCACACTGGAATCTCAGTTTCAGTCTCAACTAATTCCAAGTCTCTTAACTGCTTCTCTTCTCTGCTGTGTGTAGCTGTCTCAGGGCCCAACTCCTTTTGCTGTGTCTCTTGCTGTCGTTTTGTGATTTCAGAGCCCACCCTACCCCAAAATAGTGAAAGTGAAGCAGATGACCTGCCGGGGGGCTTGCCAGCCCTGTTGACTTGCAGGGGCTGGGTGGGGGGTGGGAGGTAAAAGGTGGGGGGTGTTGCCAGCCCTGTTGACTTGCCAGGACCCTATTGCCTTGAGCTTTGTTGTAACCAACTCTGGTGGCCTCCACATCTATTGTTCTTCTCTTCCTCTAGAACTTAACCCCAGTTCCGTTACTCAGTGGGAAACGTCCAAGTGGGCTTGGGTGCTTTCCATGGCTCCACGCTCCTCTACTAGGGGAAAGAGAAGTTCTGGAAGAAATCCCCTTGCCCGAGGCCACTTAACAGGAGCAAGGAGAATCAACCCCAGGACTGCTAACCCACCCATCACTTTTCATATTAGTGCTTGTAGGTATGCGTGTGTGCAGGTGTGCGTGCATGTGTAAGGATATGTATGGAGGTCTAGGGTAGCCTAAGGTGTGCCATCCACCTTGTTGTATCACTAGCTTGGAACTTGGTAAGTAGGCTAGGTCAGCTGGTCAGCAAAGCCCCAATGTTTTCTTGTCTCAGTCCTCTGGTGCTGTGATTACAAGTGGGCACCATCATGCCTGGCTCACTCTTCTTTCCTTCCTTCCTTCCTTCCTTCCTTCCTTCCTTCCTTCCTTCCTTCCTTCCTTCCTTCCTTTTTTTCTTTTTCTTTTTGGTGGATTCCAGGGATTGAACTTGGGTCTTGTGTTTGCATAGCAAGAACTTTAGTAACTGAGCTATCCTCCCAGCTTTCCCCCATCCCCAACCCACCATCTTAATCCACACCAGAGGCCAGTTTGCATACAGAACTCCGAAAACTTACTTGTTCTTTTGTCGTAAGAATAGGTGGGGTCTTTCCTTGTGGAATCAATTCCCAGGAAGGCTTTATAGTTATTGTCTTCATACCAGTTAAAGGAGAACACGCGAGAGCCTCCTCCTTCTGGGTAGCCACACAGGAGGTCAGACAGGATGCTCATCAGCTGGGTGAAGGTCTCAGGACCACTGTTCTGTAGGACAGGTCTGGTTACCCATAGCAAGTCTTGAACACTTGGCCGGTGAATAAACTAGGAAAAGGGAAAGACTTTGAATAATATTTTTTTTAAAAAAAAATTGTATTTTATTTCATGTACATTGGTAGGGGTTTTGTTTTAATTTTTATTTTATTTTATCCATTGGTGTTTTGCCTGCATGTTTGTCTGTGTGAAGGTATTAGATCCCCTGGAACTAGAGTTACAGAAAGTTGTGAGCTGCTACGCAGGTGATGGGAATTGAACCTGGGTCCTCTGAACGAACAGCCAGTGCTCTTGAATGCTGACCCTTCTCTGCAGCCCCGACTCTGAGTAATCTTAAAACAGACAGAACCAAAGCTTCCTCATGTGTGTGTTTGATTTCCACATTTAAAGGAAACATATATATTCTCAGCAATTCTTAATCTGCCTGCAGAAAACAAAATGTGTTGTCATTTATCTGGGGACAAACATGAACACAAAATATATTAATATGTCTGCTTTCCTTTGTTTGGGTTTCTTGGAATTGTGTCCTTGGGGAAAATGCAGAGACGATATCAGCATAAGTTAGTTGTTATCCCATCAAGATGGAAATGCTGGGGGAAAAAAACCCTGGAAAATAAAATAATAGAGAAACCTTTGTTTCTGGAAATGAAAGGCCATGGCAAATTCCTGTGACCAAAAGTTTAGAATTTGGTGTTCTATATTTGTAAATTTTTTTAAGATTTATTTTTCCTTGTGTGTATGTGTATGTCTGTGTCTGTGTCTGTATGTCGTGTGCATGCAGATGACCGCAGAGACTAGAAGGCCGTGTTGAGTCTCCTGGAGCTGGGGTCACAGATGACCGGGAACTACTGTGTGAAGCTCGTTTCAGCTACGTGGATGCTGGGAACTGATCTCGAGTCCTCTGCGAGAGCAGCCAGTGCTCTTGACCACTGAGCCACTTCTTCAACTCCTCAAAACATCTTACTAAGTTTATTTTATCACATGTGAGCTCTTCCATTCAACTGAACAGTGTGGCTTGTTCTCCCCGCATCTTCACCCTCCTGTCGTGTGCATGTGTGCTTGTGTATGTGTGTGTGAGAGAGTATGTTTTAAGATTCAAGCAAAGAGCTGGGTGTGGTGGTGCACGCCATTAATTCCAACACTTGGGAGCCAGCCTGTTCTAGGAATTGAGTTCCAGGACAGCCAGGGCCACGCAGAGAAAACGTGTCTCGGAAAACAAAAACAAAAACAAAGCAAACAAACAAAAGAGTCTTAAGCAAAGAACAGAAAATGTCTCCCTTATGGAAGAAAGTTCCAAATTCTGTGTCAACTAAGAGGGGCCTGGTGTCCCTTGCCCTTTCTACGGTGTCATCGTACCCACGGCTTCATCCTGAAAAGGTAGATCTGTGATGCTGAGGACTAGACGGAGAGACACGGGCAAAAGGTCCCAGTGACTTGGTCCCATGAGGCCACTTGGCTTTATTTTAGGGAAAATATAAAATAAAAACAATGCTGTGTTTATTCCCTAACCACACCTTACTATTCACGTTCTAAGGAACTTGGAAATAAAAAAAAAAAATAGGATCCAGCCAGGCGTGACGGAAAACATTCTCCCACTTCTGTCAGCGATGTCGACCCGTGCTCTCTCTCTCTTTGTACACATGCCAACACTTGCTTTCCGAAACTGATGAGCACCGTGTGGAATCCACACAGTGAGTCACGTTTATAATCACCGTCTATGCCTCAGTGAGAAAGTCAGAGCCTTAAACCGCTTCAGCAACCGCGGGTCTTATGACCAGAAGGGGTCATTATTGTTATTATGTCGCTCATTTAATCAAAGCACTCAGAAATGAAGGGCTGCGTTGGGGGTCAAGCGGTCTGATATCAGTTAATGTAAGCCGGGCCATCTGCTTTAACCTGGTTCACAAGCGCTCAGACCTCTTATCTAAACAGGCAGAAAATATTCCGGGAGGCCCACACAGAATTCAAAGTGTTGATCTGCTTCAGGAAGGTATTTACATTCTCTGTCGACTTCACCGCCGTCGTACGGACTTGAGTTCTTAAAATGCTGTGAGGAGAAATATGCCGGAGACTCCGCGCTGCAGCAGGTGGCCAGCAGGACCACGGGCCCTTCTCTCGCTCTGCCTGCCAAGCAGGGCTCCTGCTTTGCCCCGACTGAGCTTAATTTTATAAATACAGACTCCAAGCATGTTATTTTCCAAGTTGGCTGAGCCTATGGTGGCTGGGAAAAGCCCAGGGAAAATCACATTTTCCATTTCGCTTCACCTTCCATAAAAACTCATCGCACTTCAAGAGAGTTGGCTGTTTCGTGCTTCTCATCTTGGTTGGCTGTGTATTCAAAAGGGCTCGTGGCCGTGGCTGTCTGTTCTCTCCCTTTCTCCATTATCAACCAGCTCTTAAGTGGAGGAAGCAATTTCTGTATTTGAGAAGTCTTACATAAGCAGATGTTGATCCAATTGTGTAAATATTTCATAAGACAACAGAAAAAAGTCACCCTGCAGGGGTGAGGTGACTCCATGGAGGTAAAGCACTGAGAATTGTAACCGTTAGCACCATATACGCATTTGCTATTGTTGCAGGCCCTAGGAAGCCCTATAATGCATTTACCAGTCCACAACGAGCCATGCTACTGCAGACAAGCTGTTGGTTCCGGAGATCCTTAGGTCTTAATGTAGCATCACAAAGATGGTTGTTGTTGTTGTTATTATTATTATTGTCATTTTCTTTTTGCCTCCTACCTAGGAGCACAGATGGTTTGGAAGACGACAAGATGCCTTTAAGTTGCTAGACTGGAAGAATAAATGAGTTTCTCCTTAACAGGTGAGAGGTACGATTAAAGTCCTTGTATAAGTGTGATTGAAACGGTGTAAAGGCATGATAAGGGCTGGAGAGATGGCTCAGAGGTTAAGAGCACTGGCTGCTCTTCCAGAGGACTCAGGTTCAATTCCCAGCAACCACACGGTGGCTCACAGCAATCTATAATGAGATCTGGTGTGCTCTTCTGGCATACAGGCATACATAATAAATAAATAAATATTTTTTTAAAAAAGGCATAATAAAAACTATAGTTAATGACATCGGGCCGCTTACCTTCTGCAATCTTGGTGACACATCAGATAATACTCCTGCCCAAAGTCGCAAGTTGATACCTTGAGAACTACTGTCTAGGAGTGTGGGAAGCTGGAATCAACAGAAAAAAAATGTTTTTAATGTAGTTACAGCATTGAGGAAATGGCTTAGTCAGTCACACGAGCATGAGGACATGAGTCTGATCCCCAGCACCCACATAAAATCCTGGCTTGATGACACAGACTTGTAACCCCAGGGCTGGGGAGCTAGATACAGGGGAATCCTCGGGACTTGCTGCACAGCCAGTGCAGACAAATTCAGAGAGGCGTGTCTCCAAACACAAGACGAAGAGCAGCTGGGGAAGACATGTGATGTCAGCCTCCAGCTATACACGTATGTGCACACAGACACATCTATACGTACACACACACACACACACACATACACACGCTATCTGATTTTGTGCATACTGGTAAGCCATTTTTTCCCCCTCTCTAATTGTACTTCTGCAAGATTGTCTTCAGAAACAAAATTCTTTTATCCAAGCTCCTATTCCAAGTTTCCCTGCTGAGCTAGTCAATCACAAATAGTCTCCTGGAGACAGCAAATACACCAAAGTGACTCTGATTGCTGTTTTAATGACACCAAACAGGGCTCCCAGAGGAGGCAAACCAGCATAGCCGGTGGAGTGTGAAGACAGGCAGTGTGGAGGGCACACATCTGTTCACCTCCAGACTCTGCAGGCCCTGCCAGGTTTTCTTCACCACTTACGTCTGTCCCCTTTGTGACCTTTCTAGGCAGGTTGTCACCCTTCCTCTGTTCACAAATACTCTCTCATGGAAGATTCCACCAATTCCACCACTTTTCTTACAAAGCTAGTGCACACGAGTGAGAAGTTTCCCGGTCAAGTTCTCTAGCTGAGAGCCACATCTGGCTAGGGCTTGCCCGTGGGACAGCTCAGAACAGTTTCAGTATTTTCCACCTTGACTGGGGACACTAAAGTCCTCAGTTTCGTTGCTGGAGAGTCTTAGAGCCTGAAGCAAACCCCTCGATCACCAAGTTCAAGTCCTGGTTGACCTTATTCGCCAAGGCTTCAGAATGGAATTGACTCACGGACAGCCTGAACAGTCTTTCAGGACTGAGTTCTAAATGTTAAGACAATGGGTTTCAAGTTCAAGGGAGCACCTTGAGCGGCCTAGAGAGAGGCCCCAAAAAAGCTTGAATTGCATCCTCCTTCAGGTATGTGTACATCACCAGCCAAGAGCCTCAGCGCATTCATTTTGTAGGGTGGGTCTCCTGAATGATGGTTGGACTGGTCTGGCTTGCATCAAGAGTTGAGAAGCAGGTAGTTAAACGTGAACCATTGAGTTCTTATCTCTGCCCTGTATCCTTGCCTTTCTTCCCACGGGAGGCAGGCTTTTTCTGCTCTGCTCTGACCACTGGGATGAGACACCCATCTTGCTGGGACTTCTTTTCAAATTGCTTATAAATAGTTTTGATGGTAACAGATGCTGGGCAAGTCACTTTAGTCCCTGTTTTTGCAATGGGCTGATGGGGTCGAGTTTAGTGGGTAGAAAGGGAGTAAGGATGTGAATAGGTCAAGTCACATGTCAACAAATCCTGTCACTAATCTTGTCCATCTTCTCTCCTAAAAACCATGAGAGATAAGAAGGGACACACTTTATCATCATCATCATCATCATCATCATCATCATCATCATCATCATCATCATCATCATTGAGGTTTTTATTTTCTTAAGACAAGGTCTATATAGCCCTGACTGTCATGGGACTCACTACGTAGACCAGGCTCCCCTGCCTCTGCCTCCCGAGTGCTGCGATTAAAGGCGTGCACCACCACACCCAGCTGTCTTCCATTATTTCTAATGTATCTGCCTTTCCATTAGATCAGTGGTCTGCAACCTGCGGGGCATGACCCCGCCTTGGGAGGTCACACATCAGATCTCCTACACATCAGATATTTACATTATGGATTCATTACAGTGGCAAAATGACAGCGATGAAGTAGCAACGGAAATAATGTTATGGCTGGGGTCACCACGGCTGCATTAAGGAGGGGCTGCATTAAAGGGTCGCAGCATCAAGAGGGCTGAGAACCAGCCACTGGCCTAGATGATGAACTCCTTAAACGTAGCAACAGGCTTTAGTTCTACATCTTCAGCTCGGGTACACATGACCCAAGGATACGTGTTGCATTAATGAACACAGTAAACTAATCTTGCAGTGGAGATTCTTGCAGGACAGAATCTCCTGGGTTTTAGGTTCCAGGCATGATGTCTCTGCCAGGGAAGGAGCAATCGCTTCCACTACTGGTGGCTGGGAAAGTGACACTTGAGCTGATAAAGGGGTGCAGTGATTGTGGGGATGCAGGAGGTATCTGTGCACTGAAGGGTGTGGGGAGCCTGGGATTCCAGGTGGAGCGAGGAATGCAAAGCCAGACTCGGAGAGTCAGCCTGGATCGCTAGCCAGATAAAAACAAGAGTAGGAATCTGGGGGAGAAGATGCCTGGGGCCAGGGCATGAGATGCATTTGTGTGTGTGTGTGTGTGTGTGTGTGTGTGTGTGTGTGTATCTGGTCAACACTTTCTTTTTTGATCTTGCTAATAATTGGATAATATCTACCTCACATTTGCTAAGCCCTAGTGCGCATGGTGTCCTAGCTGTGTTTTCTTTCCTAGTTCTTTTCTATAGGGATGATAAATAACAAGGAACTTGTGTTTTGGAGAAGCATTTACATCTCAGAATGATGCCTGGCTCCCAGGCAGCCCCACTCTGTATCTGTTCACCAACTTTTTAATTGATGTTGCTATAAATTATAAAATAATTTCCCCAGGGCTCACTTCTTCCTTGAATTCTTTTCCCATTATCAATCCCAATTCGTAAGACCTGTTCCTGCCAAAAGAGCCAGAAGAGGCTGCAACTTTATTTGAATGGAAGTGTGGAAACGTTTCTAGGAAAACGGGTCAGGAACCAAAATGGCAAATAATACTATGCCACACATCCCAGACTCCTGTATCACCAAGTTCTCTTAATATTTTCAATAACAAATAACTTCATGTCATAATTGAGTTTGGGACTGATAAATTGAGGTCAAGGCCAAATTAGACTTCTTAAGGAAGACTGGTTATGCAGATAGGGTTTGTGGCAGTGCGTGTCTTTGTTAATTGTGGTCCCTGATCAGTGAACCCTTACTTAAGCGATATAAGGTCCTCATCAGGGCTCCTGAGACCTCTCTGTTAAGATACTAGGCAGACAGGGGCTGGAGAGATGGTTCAGTGGTTAAGAGCACTGATTCCTCTTCCAGAGGACCCGGGTTCAATTCTCACATGACAGCTCACAGTTAACTGTCCGCAATTCTAGTTCCAGGAGACCCAACACTGTGGCAAAAACACCAATGTACATAAAATATAAAAATAAATATTTTTTAAAAAAGATTCTAGGAGGACAGGGGCAGGAGAGGTGGCTCAGCAGTTAAGAACACTACCCTTCCAAAGGTCCTGAGTTCAATTCTCAGCAACCACATGGTGGCTCACAACCATCTGTAATGAGATCTGGTCCCCTCTTCTGGCCTACAGGCCTACATGTAGGCAAAACACTGTATACATAAATAAATAAATCTCTATTTAAACAAAAGATTCTAGGAGGACAAAATACATTCCTTTCCCTTAGAATATGCAATCTGTGTACCAGTGTAAAATAAAAGCATTATCAGCTCCCTAAACATGCTGATGATATTTATTGACTCAGTAGCAGTAACTCCACCAGCACATGGTTGATGGGGTTTTCCTAACCCAAAGGAGCCAATCTGGAAACAATATTCATCTCTAAGTTGAAGATATACTCAACACACGAGTAGTTAGGTAGCATCAGATTAAAAAAATGCCGTTATGAGAATAACATGGTTTCTGGGAGCCACCGAACGATTCTGAAGTTAGGGGTGGGTAGCCTGTCTTGAAAGCATCTAGACCAGAAGCTAAGGGCAAGTGAAGCCATGGACAGACAGCCCCAGGCTGTTAGGTTCCTTTCCCAGCAGCTGCAACAGGAAGCCCAGATTTATCCGGGAGGGAAGTTGTTGCTGGGCAACTGGAAGACTGTGGATTTAAAGCGTGTTTGTTGCAGCCTGACAGTTGTTAAGCATGGGATAAAAAGAGAGGAAGCTGCTTTGGTGCTAAGGGGGCAACCAGGAGAGGCGCCCTGCGTGCTAGGAAATGCGTCATGAGTGGAGAATTCGGACTCAGTCACAGGAGGGTGGGGGACATGCCAAACTGTCTCTACTGGGAGAGGTCATCCAGACGTGCCGTCTCCCGGCACTGGAAGGAATGGTGTCTAAAGGTCTGAGGCAGAGGGTGGGCTCTGGGGTACGCGAACAGACAAGTTAGGGAACTTCGTCGTTACACATCAGAAACTAGGCCTCGTCCCCTCCTGATGACTTCTGACTTCTATCCTAGTGTCTGTTTCTGAGGAAAGCAGAGCTGAGCTTGGAACCCAGGGGGCCGTGAAAGGTCATTTTGTGAGACAGAGCTTCCTTTGGAGTCAGAGGAAGGAGCGGAGGGACCACTGTGGAGCAGATTGTATTATCTTCTGCCACCTTCCCATTCTGTGTGTGTGTGCATGCATGTATGTATGTACAGGCCAGAGCACAACCTCAGGGGTCATTCCTCAGGCACCCTTTCATTAATTAATTAGTTAATTAATTAATTTTAGAATTTGAGACAGGGTCTTGAACCGGTTTGGAGCTTGCTAAGTATGCTAAGCTGTCTGGCCAGGGAGCCCTAGGAATACACTTTTCTCTGTCTCCCTAGTGCAGGGATTTATAAGCATGCATCATCATATCTGGCTCTTTTACACAGGTTCTAGGTATAGAACACAAAAGCCTTCATATTTGTGGGCTAAACACATCACTGACTGACCTAGCTCCGCAGCCCATGACTTCACTGTGGTATAAGCAAAATGTGTTTGGTTTCAGAGTATATTTCCTAATTTTTCTCTAATACAAATTTCATCCAACCTACATGAATAAGAAAGGGTTCTCTATAAACAACAGCAAGTTGGGTGTCAACCCATAGCCAGAAATCAGTCTCTGGGCCACTA